GGTTATAGTGTGCCTTCTTCCAGAAAACCCAGAAGAGTGGAAAAAATGATTGGGAAATTCAGTGCATTTTTATTGTCTGGAGTTCTGAACTTCACATTCCCTTGATGCAGGGATTTTCAGGCCACTGGAAGGATGAACTTACCAACTGAAGTGCTTTTGTATACTTTTATAGTAAGATGAGACTTGCATGCGTGTCCGAAATTCTGAATGGAAAATGGTAGGGGACATATTTGATGTCCTGAATCATCCTTGAACTGGTTGCAGCATAGCTTGCTGAGGGGATTATGCAAACACTGCCACATCTGTTGACTAGCGTAGGTGTATAGGCTGATCATATGGAAATTCTGGAAATCCAGGACATAAACCAGGAAATTCAAGACACCGCCTGCCTCCTCCATCACCTGTGCCCTCACAAGTCGGTGGGGGTGGGGCTGCATGCAAGGCAGGCAGTGGTGGCTGCCTGCCCGCCTGCATGGCTCTCTGAGTCCTGGCCAGACTGCGCCCCATGCCCTTGCATTTTCAGGATCCTCATTATAACTCCCAACAGCCGGCTGGGACCAGCCTCTGAAATCTGGGAGTGTCCCAGCTAAACTAGGACAAATGGTCATCCTATGTAGGAACGAAAGTCTCAAATCCTCAATATAGGTTTTGTGTGTCTGGGAAAAGGTATGAAGCTATTGTGGTAGAAATCCATTGCATAGACGGTGGTTCAACTGACAGATTATTGCAATTCTGGCGACAGTTCCAACAGATTTTAATTGTCTTGTGTGTGGAGAGAGGTAAAACATTGCTTGTTTGTTTGGGTTTTTTTGTTATTACCTATGTATATTAGCCAGACTTCTTGCCTTTAATTGAATACATTTGCTCACCAACCAGAAATAGGGGGAGAGCGGCTATATGCTATATAAGCACTAACTTTTCACTTTGAAAATATTCCTTTCATAGCAATGTTGACATTTATTTAGACCTGTTCATTTTTTAAATTTTTTAAATTTTTTTGCTTTTGTACACAATAGAACCAAACCGGGATCTAGTTGCCAGTGTATCTGGTACTGTACAGATACCCAATGAATTTCCTCCTGAAGAGGCATCTTGATTTTACCTAGCATACTTGCAATGCTAAAATAAGTCATTTTATCAAGAGTGAATCTTAAATTTAAGCAGTATCTTAACAAGAATGAAGAAAGTAAACCATATTCTAACAGTTCTTAAGAACTGCATATAAATCTATAAATAGTTCAAAATAGAACTGCAGTGAATGGATGTTATAGCTTTCATAGCATAGGTGACTGGTAGGGTGGGCACGTGACCCGCCTGAGATTGGCCACCGGCTTCTGCGAGTGGTCACCACTCGCCACCCTGCGGCCGATGCTGCTGCTCACAAACTGTGCCCCTTCAGTCTCAGGAGGTGCCAGTCACCCATTATTCATAGTAAACTATACCTGGCAGTTTTCTGGGTTGAATTTCTGGAAAAAATTTCATAAGAACTATCTGAGAGCTCGTAAGCAAAATAAACTAATCGGAAAGAAAAACATCGTAGTGGGGCATAATTAATTGAACAGATAGTTCCAAACTCTAGAAGCTCCTGTACTTCAGCCTTAAAATTCTTTAACACTCCTTTCTTTTCCTCCCAGCCTGCCATAGAAAGCAAAACAAAATGCATAATCATCTGGAGCACATTGATGCTATCATGATAGGAACAATAAGAGTGCTTGGACTGCTAAATCTAAATCAGTTTAGTCCCTTGGTAGAATACATTTAAATGTATTTTTTAGCTGGTCTTTCATGAGGTTTTCAGTGAGTGGATTCTCATCTCCATCTAGGTAACTCTGAACCTTTGTAGATGATGTAAAAAAGTTGCTTCCCTTTCAGAGCTGCCCCTTGGGGTGTGTGTGGCCTGGGGCATATCAGTCTGTGCGGGGGTGGGGGGAGGGAGCGGCCGGAGTGTGAAGCTGGTGGCGCATGGTGGCTGCGCGGTGTGGTGGCTCCCTCAGCACGTGCCAATGGCACTGTCCACGGGGCCTGTACAGCACTGTCCACAGGGGCCCCCCCAAAGCACGGGGCCTGGGGTGGTTGCCCCAATTCACCCCCTCCAAGGGATGGCTCTGTAACTTTTGTAAGGGTTTTTTTGGGATGGCAGGTTGTAGAGGAAGTTTTACCTGTATGCTTGATGCTCTATATGCGAACAGCCAACAACTTTTTCAGGTTGTGGGCCAGAATGACACAGCTCACATTAGAGGCAGGCAGGAAGGTGGGTATTATGACTTGGCTGCTGCAACCACTGTAGTAGTGCAGGGAGAGCAACTGCTGCTGAACTCTTCTATTGCTCAGCACCACTGAAGCCCCAAGTCCATCAACAGGATCAAATGGCTTTGCAGGCCAGAATCTGCCTGCGGTCTGCAGGTTGCTAACCTTTGCTATATGAAGTTCTCTGAGTTCTGCTACCCTCTTCTCCATATCAATTACATCATTGTAGGTCAGGGATCGACAACCTTTTTAGTAATGGCAGGCTGCTGCTTGTGAGTCAGTTGCTGCCATGGGTTGCTGATTCCCTTTCCTGGGTGATTTCTACACTTCCCTCAGTCCCCTTAATCATCTCTGCCATGCTGCTGACAGATTTAGTCCTGATCCCCACGTCAGTCTCAGCCCCACACCTGTCCACCCCCATTAAAGGTATGACTTCTGATGGGGAAGGGTGTTGGCACATCCAGCAGCCAACAGTTAATGAAGCAGCAGCTGGGTGCAAGGACCACGCCCTGCTACTACAGTCATTGCTGCTCATCTCTGTCACTGATTGCTGCCAAGATTCATTGCCAATTGGCAATGGTAAATACAGCAGGAAGAAAGGCAGCAGCTTCAGCAGGGGCAGGGTCTGCATGAACCCCCTGGCTGCTGACTGTGCCAGCACCTCGCCCCACAGCAGTGGTATCTCCTAGGAGTATGCGAAGCTTTGGTTGCTGATTTGATTTGGAGGAGATTTGGCTCAATTCAGCAGCCGAATCTCTGAATCCAAATCGAATCAGGAGACCCATTAATCTCTCCGAATCGAATTGGAAGCCTCTGCTCCACTTCCAGGTCCACCGCCCACTATGCTCCCCTCCCCCCCCACCCCATGCTCCCACGGGACGCTCCATCCAGCACACCATCTCAGCGTTCATGAGCTGTGCCTGGTACCTTGAGGTATGTAGAGAAGACACATAAAGGTGTGTCTGTGGCTGAATCGCTGATTCTCTGAATCAGAATTGAATCTTCAGATTCAGATTTGTCCGAATTGAATTGGGACAGTGATCTGAATCAGCAAATCAAATCACTGTCCCCTGACTTGGGCTGAATCCAAATCGAATACTGCCCACTTCGCATGCCCCTAGTGTCTTCCATGGTAAGGGAGCAGGGCTGACGAGGGAAGTGGAGCTACTGGGATGTGACCCACTAAGAGACCCCAACTGACTGCAGGGGACTCTTGCTGCAGGCCAGATCCAATGTCTTCATGGGCTGGCTCTGACCTGCAGGCCATAGGTTGCCAACCTCTGTCCTGGATAAATACAATTCTGTTCTTGGCTAGAGGGGTCTTGCTAATTTGCTCAGTTATACTGATTAGCATGGACCCATGAGATTTTTTGCTTTTCCTTATAGCAGGGGGCATATTACTTTCTCTGGGATTGTCTGGGCAGATATTAACCAGGTAGTTCCCTGTTGTTGTAGTGTCGGGGCATTGGCAGTGTCCTTTTTGCCTCTGCTTTTACCTTTGATATTTTATAGGGTGTTGTTAGTGTTTGGGATTTTGTTCCTTTGTGGTGTCAGCGAGGGTTTGAGGTGGGAATTTAGGGGATTCCTTCAGTCAATGACTTCCTGCTAGAACAGGAGTCTGGACTTGATGGGCCATGAGGCCCCTTCCAGTCCCACATTTCCATCTTTGGAGTTTTGGAATGAGACGCTGGCAAAATCTTTTGTTGATTTCAGAAGTTGTACATTTACAATTACTGCGCATTGTTTTCCAGTAAATCTGTTGTTTTTACTGTTTTAATTTGAATCTGTTGTTTGTATTCCTGTTTCAGTTTTAATTATATTATTTATATCCACTTTTGCAAAAGTTCTAGCATTCATACTTCAGATATTTTATGTTTCCCTTCTCTGTTCTTTGTGCAACCCCACTTGTATTGGGATATTTACTTAACTTATGATTTTACAAGTCTTCCCACTATTTTATTTTAAATTGTAATGCAGATTCCCAGCAGGGGTTCATTATTTTGTTTAGTGTTATCCGCTAAAGATACTCTTTGTTCCAGTTTCTCTTTCTTCAGAGATGTACTGATTTTTCTTGTTCAATTTTCCAGTCTTAAACAACACTAATAAAGTTAATTTAGTAATGAACTTTAATGTTATTTGTTACATGGGGGTGAGTTGTCTTCTCTCTTTGTCAGACATTTTAAATTCAGAGTTGGTACAGACAAATTTTTGCTGTGGGCAGATTTAAAAGCTTTGTACCAGTTCCTAGAAAGACTAAGACCAAGCTGGTGATCGTAGATGTTTAGTCAAGGAGGGCGAGCAATTCCAGAGCCTTTTGGAGATCACCATGCCATTTAAACCCCTGTATTTTCAGGGAAATACAGTTGTATTTTGTTGGCTTCCAAAGTCCGCGAGCAATGAGTTTGATTTTATTGTTGTGGCATATAATCTATCATTTCTAAATTTCATTTCCATTTGGTCAGTGTAGTACACTTCTTATATGTAGTTTTGTTAAATAGTATGAATAAATTTGCTTGGTTTTGAAAATCACTTATTTTATTACTTTTTGAAGTCAACGTTGATTGAAGACTATAGAAACTCCTTTTAGTGGCATAGAGATGTTATAATAAGCTAAATACAGAGGAGTACTCTTCTCTGATGTTAAAAACCACATTTGTTTGTTTTAAGTGTGTGTTTGATTCTGTGAGGTCTTTGAAATCATGCAGTATTTTCAGGCTGTTCACTCTGTATTTTGTTGCCTTTTGTGCTTTCAGGTATCTTTTAATTGTTCATATCCAGGATAGAGCAAACAATGGGGAGAAAACTAGATCTTTCTGGCTTGACTGAGGAGGAAGCAGAACACGTACTTCAGGTGGTCCAAAGAGATTTCAGCCTTCGGAAGAAAGAAGAAGAAAGGCTGAGGTTAGATTATTTTTTTCTTTATTTTGATTATCCTGTTAGAATAGCAACAAAACGTTTAACAAGCAAACTCGAGTGTCTTGCCCCTTCCACATCTGGGTTTTATGTATTTTACAACTGGATATGTTTGGCACAGAACACTTTATTTCAGTGTGTAAATATGCATATTTGCATTCAGTTATTTGGTAAATAATTGTATTTGTTTTCTTTTTTAATAAATATTTTTAAAATCACTTTGATAGGGATTCAGTAGATTCAGTTCCTTGCTCTGACGTACAGAAACAGAGTAAAACAATATTCTGTATTGAAGAATCTTTGGTCACTTGAAGTTGATTTTGTTTTCAGTCATTGACAGAATCCTTCAAAAAAACATGCGACCAAAACAAAGCAAATCAAACCAATCCCAGGTGCAAGGCTCTGTGTTGCATCCCCAGGAATTTTGTTGTCCCCAAAGGCAAGTGTAATGGGAGGAACCTGAGTTGGTAGATTGAAAAGTTTATTTATAGTTTCCAAAAATGTTTTCTTTTGCTATGGTTCTGTTTTCTTTCACCTTTTCTAGAAAAAAAACAAACTATTGTTTATTCTCTAGGAGAGAGACTTAAGTAACTGCTTATACTTGTTGCATACAAATTCTCTCGTCGTAATCCTAGTGCAACAAATGGAAATCAGTCTTTATCTTCCAGCATCTTACTGGAGTCAGTAGAGCAGGAGTTTTACCTAAAGAAGACATTGAGCCCAGGCTATATATTATGCACAGTGAAAATGAAATCCCTCATTGCTTGTGGATTTCTCTCCTGCTGTTTTTTTCTGAAATAATACTCTGGAAGAGCAGGAACAAGGAGAAATGTGTTACTAAATAATCCTAGTTCATTTTCAATGCATTCAGAAAGATTCTATCTATGTATTCCAATCTCCAGTAGAGTTCAGCTGTGTACACTTCCTTGCTTCAAGTTATAGTGTCAAGAAATGAAGAGAGGGATTACAGGGCGGGGAAGGCAGGGGTAAACAAGAAGAGAAATAAGGAAGTATCTAGTGGTTGCTTGAGCTTGGGCAGCTATATCCTAATGGAAGAAAATATAAAGACCAGGGAGAATTATGTGGAATTCCTTTACCACAGTGTGAAGGGGAAGTGATTCTATGATACCTTGCTGCCATCTATATACTCAGACTTCCAAATTGGTTTGATTTTACCATTGTGTTGCTACAGTGTGTCATAGTGATGCAAGCAGGGTGCACTTGCACCTTTTAGGGGTGTCCTTTAGCCCTAAACCTCCCTGCAGTCTGCTGCTTGACTACTGGGAACAAGCTGAGATGTGCCATGGGGGCCAGCTCTTCACTTCGGTGTCTCAACTTCACCTCTCTCACCCATGTCTTGACAGTTCTAATACAGTAGATTTTGCCAACTTGAAAAATCATACCTATGTCTGGCTTGTGTAAGAAATTATAGGTCCTGGCTCCCACAGGAGTGACTGGCCCGTTTGCCAGCTGCTCTGAAATCACACTTCCCACAGACAATCAGTTATGTATAAGAAATAGCAACAAGATTTATTACATAAACAGGATAAACTTTAAAATTCAGTAACCATATATTAAAATACATAGAAGATGAATAACAAATAAAACTACAAGCACAATATTTGATTTTACAGCTGCTAGCACTCTGACCATGTCAGGATTTTCTACAAGTAAACATGTTAACTTACCCTACTCAGCTTTTCATTAATGAAATTATCTCTATGTCCAAGAATTCTTAGATCAAAACTTACTTCTAAAGCAACTTTTTAAGTACTCATTCTTATCTGCTCATCTGAATACTTTCATTGAATTCTTTCGAAGCATATATTACGTATATAACTTCCTGCCCCAGATGTGTATCCATTTGCCATGTCAGGTATCTTTCCTGATCAAATTATAACTAGGACAAATTTAAATCCTTGCAACCATAAGATTACTAATTCCACATCAGAGAGAGTGCCTCTTATTTCACATCAGAGACTATTTGGATAAAAGACTACTCCCCTATCCTCCATTAATACCTTTCCCTTTTGAGATGTAGACAAGTGCTGCCTGACTCATCCAGCCCTGCAGGCCTAAGCGGTGCAGGGCCCAGTCTGTAGGCTGGATGAGTGTCATGGGGTCTGTCCACAGAGCTTGCCATGGATCTGTAAACGTGGTGGTAGGACAAGGGGCAGCAGCGTTAATTGGCACTGTTACCCTGCTGTCAGACTTCTGGACCCATGGGGAGCTGTGTGGGCTGGATGGTGTGGTTCCACAGAATGCTCTCATGGGCTGCATCTTGGTTACACCTGATACAGACTGTCATTGTTTATTTGTGGATGAGCCTGAGGTCGGGTATACACCCAACCTTTTGGCGGGCTACTTTACATAATCACTATAGATGTGAATTCTTGGTGACTACTCTTTCAAAGAGGCATTATCCCTCTTAGGTGTGAACATTATTGTCTGAAAAGAAACATACATTCATATAAAATAATAAAAAGTTAATGCAAATATAAAATGATAAAACTAAATGCAGCTTAACATTGGCTACAAGTAGAGACCACATATTATACCAGCCAGCCTAACTGAGGAAACCATCTCTATATGAGTTTATGCCGTAGTTATCTATAAAATTTGTTTTGTTAATGTTAGTCATTTAAGTAATTTACTTGTGAAAATTGGCCTGAGGAGGTAAGCAATATTACAAACTAAATGTCTGCCCATACTCCATATCTGGTCACATGGTGGCTTAACCTGGTCACATGTTTGGCTTAACCAAGGTTTCTTTCTCTTGGCATAGAATTCATACTTTTGCAAAGAATTCATAAATACATTTTTTCGAGAATGGGGTACTGTTCATAACAACCAGCATTGATAAAGCCAATTTTTTGTACCACAGAGGATTACTTAAAAAAAAAAAATCCAGTAAGCATGAATTAATACCAGGCTTAAGCTATCTAATGATTCACTTCATATTTTACCAGTTTATTGAATTAATTGTTTTAAATAAATTTTTCACATGGGTTATGTGCAAAGTTGTACATTTTTTTCAGAATGTAGAGTTGGGAAGAAGTGCTTAATATGTTGAAATTAATTGGTTCTCCATATACTGAAACATATGCTTTGCTGAAACACAGCTTGAAATGGCATCTTCTAAAGAGGTAGATCAGATCTTCATGTTGTTCCTCCAGCACTGGAATGCATTACCTAGGAAGGATGTGGAATCTCGACCACTGATGGTTTTTACAAATAAGTTAGGCAAATATCTACTAGGAATGGTTTGCTTATACTTGAACCTATTATGGTGACTTTTCAAGGTCCCTTCTAGCTCTATATTTCTATGATTCTGTGTTGTTTTATTTTTTTTTTTAAAACAGTTATTAGATGGCAAGACCTACCAGCATATTGTCAATTTAGAAATATCAATTAATTTGTTCTATATATTGTATAGGCTGTTATAATAAAAGCTAGCCCTGTCAGATGGTGTTTTAATTTTGATGTGATTGCAGAATTCAACAGCTTAGATAGGAAATTGATTTAAAAACCCCTTTTAATAACTGGAAATGCCCTGCTAATTGAGTGGTAGTTCTGAAAATCAAAAGGGGTCAATTGATTTAACATTGTTCCCTGAAAGCAACCTGTTAAAGTTTTCACATGCATTGCAATACCTATAATAGGCTGTCAATATTGCTTGCTTGTGCCATGGGGAGCCTTATATTTCTCCACTGAAATGTAGTAATTACTTTGCAGGGCTGAGGGTAGGAATATATGAAACATTTGAAATGCTTCAGAGTGCAGCTCTGGACAGAGGTCCATCTCCCTGGATGGAGCACTTCAAAATCATCATGGCTGCATATAGCAGTGTGCTCTCCAGCCACTGGGGTGCTGTGACTTGTGGTTCCACTTCCCCACCATGTGGGGAGCAAAGCAAATTGTGAAGGCAAGATAGTTGTTTCCTTCAAGGTTACTTGTGCAGTACTTCGGCACATGTGTCCACCTTACCCTTTGAAGCACTTCAGAGGCATTTTAAATGCTTCAAATGTCATTTCAGGAGTCTTTGGGATACAAGTTAATTACTATGAAGGGGAACAAAGATCAAGATGTGTCCAAAACAGGCTGTCCATTTTCTGAGCGCTGTAGGCTGTGTAGCTGCACACTGCATGGGCGCCTCATCTCCATGTGAGCTGCATGAGCCCCCTACTACCATTGCTATGTGAGCCTCTGCACCTCAATGACTTTGGGTGATTCCCACTCCACTGTCCCACTACTGCTATGCAAGCAGTGTGAGTCTTCCACATGAGCCTCCCTGCCGCTGCTGCATGGGCAGCAAGCTCACCAGGCCTCCTGCCATGCTGTCTTGCTCCAGAGACCTCAGCTACTCCCGCCAAGCAGCTGGAGTAAATGGGAGCAATGGTGCCTAGGCAGGAGCCCAGGGATTACATGTTATCCCATGGTGAGTTGGATGTGGCCCACCAGCCTCCTATTGGATGGCCCTGGTTTAAGATAATACAGACAGTAGGCACTCATATAGTGGAAACCACCTAACCAGAATGCAAGCTAAAAAAAGTGAAAATGGTTGGTTTCAAATCCACTTCGCCAGCAGAAAATCAAAAGTGTAGTAATACACAGCTAGCATGAAAGTTTATCTCCACTCCCAACAAATACTTCTGCTTACAGTTAGAAAAGGCACAATGAACGGCATAATTTTAAGTCTTAATATGCCGCTAACTTGCATGAAGTCTTTTCGTATATTTTGTGTCGGTTCATTTTCCCCTACAGCTTAAAACAAAAAAAAGAATGAAAGAAATATCTGGCTGTTAAATTTAACATTTTGGCTGGGGAGTTTGATTTAATAAAGCTAATGAAAGTGCTGTATCTCAGAAAGGCATATGAGTTTCATACCGTTTTTCCGAAGTATGTGATCTACATATAAAATAGGGTAGTAGTTTAGTTACTGGGAAACCTTGAGTTAGTGTCATTTGGAGGGAAATGTTACAATGTTG